TTCGCCCCAAGTGTCATATATAGTATATTATTAAAAGAAGTAAATAAAAAAAAGGATAAAAAGAGGATTCCTCCAGTGTCATCATAATTCAACAGAGATTTCAAGATCATCGATACCCTCTAAATAGAATGGTATTCTTATCCAACGTAAAGAGATAAACTCGACGAGCTTTCCACGACTAAATATACACACACAAAGCGAGATTACCTTCTTATTGCTGGAATCTCTTCGTTCGAGTACACACAGCGAGAATATCGTTTGTCTCCAAACTCAAAGCTACTCGCCGATATACTTAGATCTAGGAACCCGATCGTCTTTCTTCTCATCGGACTGACCTTAATTCACAGTGGATCGATGGATCAGCTCGATGGGGTGCAGTTTATACCTGACTTAATATCGTCAACGAGAGTCGTCTGACCGATGAACGGAAGTGGCTACTTTGACTATTGAACTGAAGCGTAACGCAGCCTTTCCGTGACTCGCCTGAGATTGCGAGCAAACAGAAGTATTATGTGTGTACGTAGAGGCAAAATAACGGAAACACCTCGTACATTGAGAAGATTCTTCTTGATGATTGATGTCACGTGGAATTCTCCAAGTCCTCTCGAGAATGAAATTATATAAACATGCGAAACTTTAAATCGTGTTTAAAGAGGATCGTTACACAGCAGAAGCTCTTCAAAATGCTTCATGCTTTTAGAGAGAACAAGGAACTTGGAACAAGATGGTCCTAACTATTTCTCCCAAGATAGATCATGTTAATTCACCAGTAATTCATGTTAAGATCTAGTCAATAGATTGACCAAAATGACACATATATTTGGGTTCTCTTGAAAATGGTGTCACACCAATCTTGAATCACGTATCAAGTTAGATATTAAAATACGTAATGTTAGAATTATAATATATATTCTAATATTAGAAATTAGATTAATATTAATATAATATTAGAGTATTATATTATATTATATTAATATTAATATTAATATTCTAATATTACATTAATATTAATATATATCTAATATAATATATATTCTAATATTAGAATATTAATATTAATATTAATATGATATAATATTAGAATATATTAGAATTATAACAGATATTAAAATACGTGAGAAAACATTTTCTATCCCATCACGAGGCTCTATACTTGCAAACAACATCTCCATCACTTTCTCCAATCGTATATATCGCAAGTTTTATTTCTTCATGTCGGTACGAACACGATTACACGACGGTTACAGTCTGTGACGAGTCCACATTTGGCGAGAGACAAACGCTGGAGAAGAAGAAGAAGAGTGGCCACTGGGCCAGTGCCAATAAACGCGTCTCTTGGCCGTGGTTTCCGCTACTTTTCCACGCAGACGCGCGTTGCTCGAGTCGCGATCGAGCGTAAAAGATGAGAGCGGCCGGTGTTAGCAAACCGTACGTACAACGTAATACCCGTTTCCGTTCTATTTTCGACACGAACCGGCAACTTCCGAATTATATTCGAATTTCACCGTGCGTTTCTCGGCTCGCAGACAGTCGCGCGTGCACGGAAAAAAACGGAGAGGTTTTTCCCTTCGAATCCTGGTGCTCTTTGTTTATAAACGAACGGCGGATTAACACTGTGAGCGGGGGGAAAAAAAACTTTCGGGCACTTGAGAGAGGGTTGAGTGTTTCTCATATTTCAGTCGTTTCGTTGTGACAGCGGCTAGACGGGGCCGAAACTCTGGTAGATCGCAAGTCGGTTTAAATTAGGGAGTCTAGACGCCTCGGAAATACCACGTGGCCCGGCGTCGTGCTACGTCCAACCACTTTCAGTTCGAACAGATCGCGCCTCGATGCATTGTTAAAACGGCAGACAAAGAATCTTCAACTCTTTGATTTTCTTAACTAACGATTCTCAATTGGGACATAAAAATTATTTAAATGGGGCAATATGTGCTTCATATTTGGTGATCAGATCGTTGGATCACCAAACATCAAAACACTCACGTTGGTCAAATGGTCACACCTATTATGTATTATATGTCGAAAATTGTGCAGATAATGTAGGACCATGTTGAGTGAACTCAGCATTTCTTACTAATTTTTCAACTTAAAGTTAGTGATCTTCTGAAACAGTATCATTTAGAGATCGTTGCTTTCTCTTTCGTAAAAAGTGAAATGAATTGTTCAAAATTGTTTGAATTTGACTTTTCAGGTATACGACGAATATGTATGTTGAATTGGTACAAAATGATCAAAATTTCACTGCTACTTTGTTTTTTGTTCCTTTAAAAATTACAAGGGGAACAATTCGTGATTTTACGCGAGGAATTAGATTTCTTTTCACTCGAGCAATCATATCATTCTCCTTGCTATCTATTGAATCGAGACGAGCGATATTTCCCTTTGAAAGATCAGATCAAGCAAAGATACAAAAGAAAATCGAGCTGCGTCTTTATTACGATCCCTCGAAATATCGTTCAAGTAGGCAACAGTCGAGTCCTTTGTTTGATGGAAAACGACTAGTCCCACAAAATTCTTCTAAAGTTCCAAGTTTCGAGTATTTCTTGTCGTTGCCCGCGTACGAAGAATCTTCCCTTGTTCTTGAAAATCGTTTCACTCTTTGATCTTCTTTCGTTTTGTCTCGTATCTGTTCGACAGGTTGGCCAGGAATTCTAAGATTTCACTGTTTGAAGTCCTTGATCTTTAATGAGAGTACGTGATTGCAGAGAAGCAGAGACGACATTAATTGTCGAAGAGTATCGAAGATAAAGATTATCTTTGGCGTTTCGATGAAGATTATTCGTAGGAAAACGGGAATTTGACATGGTAGAAACATTTCAAAATCTGTTTATCTAAAAGCTGGAACGGAAACGTTGGTTGTTTCTCTAATTGTTTGCTCTGGAAGTTTTAATTGACCCTTGCATCGGAATTCCATTAACTAACACGCTGAATGCGTCTAATTAAATTCGCAGAATTGCGCGAAAATACTTGGATTTAATTCTGTTGGAATCCTTGTCTCGTTATTGAAACAGGTTGATCAAGATGCAAACTTGTTTGCCAAAATTTTGGATTCGTTTCAACACTGTTATTTTGTTGAAATAACATTCCCCGAATCTATATTTTGTTTCGTAATACATTCATCGATAATTTCTATTATTAAATTCCAAGTATTAAAATAACGAATCACTGAAATGTTAACATTAAGAACAAAAGGATAGAAGAAACGGAAAAGATGTATCCATAAAAGCATCTGTAAACGTATTTAACAAATATACGAAGAAATGCACAAGGAAAATTTGTAATAAGTACACAGTGAGGTATTATATCTAAAGATTCCCATCGTTACGCACATTCGCGTGACTAGTTTGAACATTGTTACCATTGTCCAAACACGTAGATCACGAGTATGGCACGTGGTTTATATTTTTAAAATGTAACACGCAAAACAAAAGCGACATGAAAAGATGTTTTGTGTACAGAAATGTGTGTAGTAATGGTGAAGTTTAATCACGCACTCGTGCGATACAATCAGTGACGATCACGCGAACATTATGCGAAGAATTATTTAGTACTTCTAAGAGTAGAACAAAGTAATAGTATTTTTTATTACTATTATTTTTTACTACTTCTCTTACTATTTGCATAACAATTCTGCAGATTATGTATTATGTAAATTATGTAAATAATTATGTACATTATGTATTGAAACTATGCATTAAAAATCTGAAAATATTTTTAACAACCATTTCGTGTTTAATGCCGAAGAATTAAGATCGAATCACGCAAAGGATCGAAAGGTACATTTACATTTTTTATGGAGAAGTTTTTCATCAATTAGAACGCGTATAATCACGAGCAATGATCCCATTTTAGCTGCGTTCAATATTTGCGAGCACGGAATTTCACGGAAATAAATGGGACCGGGTATTTATTCGCCAATACCCGGAGGTCACGATTTATTTCACCCTGCAGTTACCCACGTAACCACGTAGCCCATCCTGCTGCCAGTGGCCGGTTCCAGACCCTTCCGTAAATTCATTAATGAAAAATTACGACGAAGATGGTATAGTAGCTTCACTTTCCCCCATTCTCGGCTGGCGCGGCGTTGTCTCGTGGCCGGTGATACCCGTCGGTGTCGCGTGGTGGCGCGGTGATCGCATGGCCGCCCTCAGTGTTCGCGAGCCTCGCTCGGTGTGTGTTTCGTGGCGTGGTCGTCGTCGTCGTTATTATCGTCGTTGTTACCCGTTCGTCTGGTCTCTTGTCTGTTTCTAACACGTTGCATCGCCGTTGCAACGGTAATTAATTCCGTCGCGAATCCGTCCCCGCGCGAACGTCCATCCAACGTACACTACTGCGCGCGTGTGTGTGTACGACCGTGTCTACGCGAGTTCGTCCACTCCTCACGAACACATCCCGACGCGAGACGTTTCTCTCTTCGTGTCTCTTTCTGTCTCTCTATCTCTCTATCTCTTGTCTGTGCGCGAGAAAAGCCGTGAGAGCGGCGTGTGTGTCAGTCAGCTTTTCGTGGTGCGTGCTTCCTCGTCGACGTCGGCATCGCTCGTAGTTCCGTCGCGTCCGTGGCTCCAGGCTCGTCGTCCGCGCCAAGTTGATTCCGGAGAGCATTTCGGAGCTGGCATCGTGCCTCGCCGCGCTCGTTGTGCCCGTATCGGTCTGTCTCGCTTCGCTACGTGGCTCTCAGCGTGCGTACGCGCGTAGTATGTGCTTCTGTGTTTATAATCGTAGCGTCCTTTCTCTCCGTCTTGCTCTCCTCTCACCTGCAGCCACAAGGCACACAGGTGTCCCCGTGAAGGAGTGGCGACGCCTGCCGTGAATCGTCATCGCTGTGATATTACGCCGGGGAGGAGCAACGTTTCTGCTGCTCCTTCGCGAATCCTGCCATCCAGCACTGCCCCGAATATTATCGTCGTGTACGCCTCTGTGCCTCTCGTCGCAACAGAATTTATCTGAAGTACGTGTGCATACGTGACTGTGTGCGTGCATGCGCGCGCGTGTGTGCGTGTGTCCCCCGTTCGCTCATGAAACGCGAGTGTCTCGTAACACCGGCTCCTCTCCTGACCACCATCACTCTGCGCGCGCCCGGTGACAGTACACCGTGATGCCGTTCCACCGATAAAACCGAATGTTTTCTGCGTGCGTTGTAATCCGTACCGTATCCACGACTTTGCCACACGTACGCGAGCTCCGTATCGTTTTTGAGGTTACTCGCGTCAGCTGGTAAACATCGCTGTATGCCAGCCAGCCTCGGTTTCTTACATTCGCGACGTACGTAAACTGCGAACGTTCGTTCGTTCTTTCGTTACGTGTCATAGTCGCGAGACATTTTTCCTGCGGTCGTATTGTCGCGTCCCGACCTTCGGCTTCTCTCGTTCGTGTTTTCAAATCGAGTATAGGTTAGGTTAGAAATGTCTTCCCGTTCGGTGAGAACGTTACCTGTAACAGACTCATTTTTACGCGAGAGAAACGTAATATATAAACGTCATTCGTACGCGTCGCGTGTTTGTAAATTAAACGGAGCGACATAGTATCAAGAGCTGTATGGAATCGATGTATCACGGGTTGAGCGAGTCTCGGGAACCATGACCGGAATATCGTTAAATAGGGTTCGCGCTCGTTCAATGCTCGGATCGAACGGTCGATAATCGAACCCGGGGTGGAAAGTCGATGGACCGCGATGCGACATTTCGTGGCACGGTGGACACACGGTCGTTCGAGACCTCTCCCGAACGACACAATACACGCCATTCATGACAGCCGGTGCCATTACCGGGAGAGTTTAACGTTTTACCCCGTTCCTATTGCGCAGGACGATTCCGTGGAGCGTTGACCGTGCACAGAGTGTGTCTCGTGGCGGCCGCGAGAAAGAGAGACCGAGAGAAAAGAAAAGAAAGAAAAGAAAAACGACCGCGGAAGGCTCGCGTTCGCTTCCTTCCGTTATAAATAAAGACCGTGGAAGACCCCTCCCCACCTCCCCTCTCAGCAGTACGGAGTCAGCCGGCTCGGGTCGGCCATTTTTCATACGGAGTGCCATAATCGTGGAAAAAGCACAAACACCAATAGGGGAGAAATACCTTCCAATCATCGAGTCCGGCTCCACTGGAATTTTCAAACGTGATACGGAAATCCTGCCATCTTGGAATACCTGTTGTACCTTTTTCTATATCTAGCTGTAACCAATTATACGTCTAGAGCAACTAGTAATAACAATAAGAATAATAATAATAATAATAATAATAATAATAATAATAAGAAGAAGAAGAAGAAGAGAAAGTTGTGCAAGTGACAATCGAAGTCGAAGTCGCCGCGAAGAGGAGCGTGTGACAATCAAACGAATCAAAGCGCGAGAAGAGGGGTTTAACGTCGATCGAGTCGAGGGCGGCGAAGATTCAAACGACGAAAATAAAGTGAAACCGATCGTCGGAGCGCCTGGTGACGTACGCAGCGGTAGCCGCTGCCAGAAGCAGCGCACAGCGGAGCTCGTAAATTTTCCTCGGCGATCTCGAACGCACTAAACGCCGAGCCGCCGTGGAGCTGCCGCGAAGTAACAAGCGACGCGAGCCGACCTCTCGACCGGGCAGCCGTCAGGATGTTTCAGCTGGCCAGCAGCCGGTAGCTCCGTTGCCGGGCCTGGTCGCGATTCGCAGCCCCTGGAGGCGGACGAAGCGCGGCCGTTTCAAAACGATGTCCATACGCGTCAGCGGCGTCTACCTGGTGCCCAGCCCGGCGGCTAACAACGAGCCCGGCAACGAGAAACCGAGCAACCTCTCCGTGGAGAACAGTCTGCATCAGCAGCAGCAGCAACAGCACCATCATCATCATCATCATCATCATCACGCGGCCAAGACCGTGACGATCGTCGCCGGGCCACAGAGGAGCAACAGCCTGGATTACTTAAATTTCGAGGAGAAACGGCAGATCATCGCCTCGTCGTTGTCCCTCAGCGATTTCTTGGCTCATGGACCCGCGGCTGCTGCCGCCGCTGCGAAGGAGGTCGCTGCCAACACCGTTATAGGTGAGTTTTTCAAACTCGGCGAGTTAATTTGAAAGGGGCGAACAAGGTGACTGACTGTGCACTGGTTTGACAACTCTAAAAACACGTGCTGGTCTAAAGAAGAAGAATTTATTTCCATTGTAAAATGTTTGAACGATCGAATTGTTGCCAAAATTGAAACGCCTGGAAAGATCTCTTAAAGATCGCGTTCAATGTTAAAATCAAACTTGATTAATTAGACAGGTACCGATCTCTCTTTTAACGTGAAATTAAAAAGAAAAGGGGAACACTCTGCTAAAAGTGTTCAAGCAGTGCGCTTCGAGGCAGCAACATTCTCGAGTAATACGCTCCAAAGGAAGGAATTCCCATGGCAATTTGCATGCATAGAATCCAAAGTAACGGAAACGCTGGTCTATTCAACCCATTAGTCGTTGAATCGGTCATTACCCGGATACCCACTTTTCGAGACCTCCGTGCTCGCGCACGTCAGGGAAACAATAGCCAGCACCCAGGGTGCTCCTAGATCCCGTGCCCCCCTCCCCCCCTCAACCATCCTCGAGTATCTCTCGATCGCGATCAGGTGATTCTCGATCGTCGTGATTCCCTTCTTCTTTCGCGACCAGAGATCGTCGGCCAGCGGTGGTCGTCGTCCATTGTCGTCGCGCATCGTGGCCCTTGTGAACGAGCCTTTTTCATCCGAAAGACGGTGTGCAGCTGTGCGCGATTACCGTTCCCTACGCGTGAATCGCGAGCAACTCCACGCGAACGAGTAAGCCTCTCTTTCTCGCGGAGAAGAATTGCCAAGGGTGGAGTGGAGAGAGAAAAGGAAAAAAAGGGGGGGGGGAGGGATAGAACGAGGGAAGAACAAAGAAAGAAGGAAGCATAGAAAAAAGGGAATTACCGTGCGGTTCGATTGCGAGTCGAGGAACTCGCGGTAGCAAAGATAGTCGGAGTCGTTCCACTAAACAAACCCCGTGCACGCACCGTTCTCTCGCTACCTACACGTGCTGCCTCTTTCCCTCCATTTTTCGTGTCCTCTTCCGGTACGCTTCCTTCGGCCGGCGCTATCTCATCGGATCGTCGGTCGTTGCTTGAGGAAGGGACAAAGGCAGCCGGCGACCATAGAAACTTGCCTCGCACGGTGTGCGTTCCGCAGCGAAACAGAGGTTTTCGAATCATCGCGATACGGTTGGACGCAGTTGTTCGGAGCCGCTATTCAATTGTCCAGTTGTTAAACGGAGTAATATTTTAATAATGGTTATTGGCCGTCCGAATAATTCTCTGAACTCTGTTTGGATGTTTGTGGAAGTTTCTACGAGTATCGATTGATGAAAATCTTTATTTCGAATTTTCATAAATTGTAGGAACTTGGATCGACGAATGTATTCGAAAGGTTTGGAATAATCGATCAAAAGTTCAAGAGACCCAAATTTTAATTCTCAATCGATAGATACCTATTGCACTAACACTCAATTACTCTATCTATAGTGACAGGTTGTAGCTTTGAAAGTCTTGCATCGAAATAAATTTCACTACGTGCAGGTTACTTGAGAGAGAGAGAGAGAGAAAAAGGGAAAGGGAGACAAAGTGGGATTACGTTCTTATTCTCTCTCATCGTCGGCGCGAAGGGAGCTTTGTTATCGTGCTCCCACGAAAAGCCTGTACCATTGTCGTGGCTGCCTTTTTGTTTCAACGCTCGCGGCCCTGATAGATCGTTAGACCTCTCTCGTTGTCTCTGATCGCTCGTGGTTGCTTGTGCCTTTGTGCCGGCTGGCCTGGGGAATTAGTATTCTACGGTAGGTGCAGAATGTCGTTGATTTATTGAATTGTTTTTACATTTCCTAGCATGCTTGCCTTTCTTTCGACGAGCGCGAGTGTGAACGTAGCCCGAGATGAAAAGACTCGTGCATTGTCGTATTCTTTACACGTTTTCAAACGGGCAGGATATTCCTCCCTTTTACGAGGAAAATGACTTTCATTCGCTTTGATAACACGCTATCTTATTAGGTTTATTTGTTACGAGTCTTTTAATCGTACTCTTTGATATTTTGTAATAATTTCAAATTTAGGTTTCTTAAACTTGTACAAAAAAAAAAAAAGTGATATGTACTACTTTCGATCAATTTCTAGATTGTACACTTTACGTACGAGTTATCTTTTAATATTACAGTTTCGCAAATGCACGAAACAGAGCAGAAAACTTGTACGAAATAATGAAAAATTGTAATTAGAAGCCTCGCGTCTAAATGTCGTTCGCTGCACTTTCTCTCGTCTGAAATTAAAACATGTCCCAAACCTTTGAGCAACGATTCATCGTATTCAATCTAGAAGGAACATCTTTCTTCTGAATTAAAAATATTTCACGTTCCGTTCCAACGATCGCGCAAATGTTAACAAACTTTGATAACAGGAACATGCTTCACTCATTCACATTCCAACGCGTCTATTCGAAACGTAGTTTCCAGGAATACTACGCAGAGTAGTAGAAAGAGAGAAAGAGAGCGCAGAGTAGAGAGAATTCGAACAAGTAATCCTCTGTTCGGGCGTTCTCAAATTTCCTTAGCCGGTGAATATTGATCAGGAATCTTGTTATCCGCCTTCCGTTGGCCGCTCTCGCGTGGCCACTTTTCATAGTACGTACTATTTGATCATGCAACACGTGTTACCTCGAAAGTAACCAGCTCGACGGTGTACCAATGCCACGTATGTTGTACGTGTTTCGCGGTGCGTCGTTGCAGGAACGCGTAAATCTGAAACGCGGTGTTGCTGCACGTGTGCGTTCGTTGAACGCAACGCCGAGTAATTTACATGCAGAACAGTCCGGATTTTAATATGCCGTTTCTGCTGGCGGGTCCTCTGCGCGTTACCAACGTAATCGCGTTCGTGCTCTACGTCGTGACTCTCGTCGCGATTCACTTTTATTCGGGTACCGCGTAGCCAAGTAGTTTTATTTCACTCGCTTGTCTGCGATTTATAGGCGAAAGACGGGGACGTTGGTATTCGAATACTAACTTCGCGACTCGCAAAATTGGCGACGTTGACGTTGCATGATGCATCGCCATGGTCAGTGGACTATGGGTGAGTTTTGTTGCGTTCGAATAAATTGAAATTCTTTGGTTAGAACGATTTATCGACGAATATTGATATTAAACGGAGAGATAGTCGCTCTCTATCGATGTGAAAGATTTTTTTTTTTCTATCTTATCGCTGCTTGATAACCAAATCACCCGGGAATAATGTATTTCTTCAATCGTCAATTAATCTGTAACGTTTGACGCGAGCGTTTAATTTTTGCGCACGCAGACGCAATAGAATTTATTTATTTCTGAAGCTAAAGCTCGATTTAAAAGTAGATCTTACGTTTGATTACCTTGATTCGTGACATTATCGATAGTTTATGATACTGAATGGGCAAATGGAAAATAACATACTACTATGTCTGTTAAATGATCAAACTGTTGGAAATCTATGAAAACTTTTCCTCGATATTTAAATATAATACACGCGTCGAGATTTGCTAAATTAATGAAACGTGTGATCGGAAGAGTTCTATTCATTATTAGTTGTTCTGATTTTTATGATGTAATTTCAATTGTAAAAAGAGTTGAAGAAGCTCTTCGATGAAAAGAGGAAAAATTCGCGAATCTGTCCGATGGTAAATTTTCTTTCGATTTCGCTACACTTGCTAAATAGCTACACTACAACAGTGAAACGTGTACGACGTGAATTAACAACATGCGAAATTGATTAAAGTTGGACGAAAGTCGCCATTACAACGTAGCAAACCGCAAACATCATAGCGATAATACCCCAATCGACAGGGTGTATCGATGGTAGCCGCAACGATAGACCGTCGACATCCACCGCCAAACAGGAAACGTTAACCTTTCGTACATCCGTGTTTGCGCATTCATTAGCGGAGATAATCGACGGCGGGAGATCGATTCGCGCCACGTACATCGATATTTTGGCTATCGGTTCGGGGCGTGTCGCGGTTGCGTTTCCCCTTTGGCAATTGCTCTTCCGTTCTAGTCAATCAATTCCAGACGGCCTTTTCTTCTTTACGATGAAAACTTTCTCCTCTCTAGCTGCTTTAAATAGTAAAAAAAAAAAAAAAAAAAAATCTAAATTGTAGGAAAAAAGATTGGTCAGATTTAGGACATTCAATTTTATCTTGTATTTTGCGTGAGAGAAACAGGTTAAAAGTTCGAAAATGAAGCGATTAAACTCTTTTATCTGAAGTGAGGCACTTCCCTCGAAATTAAATAACTTCTCAGTGATATAAAAATACGATTGTGGGCACTGTTATAAATCATCTGTTGAATTGTGAGAAAAAAACAATCGGTACTTATCGAAAGGGCTGAGGGAACTGGATGAAAGAGAGAGAGAGAGAGAGAGAGAGAGAACTTTGCAAGACGTAACGTAAGATGCAGCCGCGCCTTTCCAACGTTGCCTTCCCCTAAGGCCGGCGATCAATCATCCACGGGTACCTAATACGCGCGATTCGTCATTAGCACTTAACCGTGGCCGCTGCCTCGGGAATTGTGCAACAGATGTGCCAAGAAATCTGGTCACTATATAAAATCTTGCCAGTTTATTTTTCCAATCGCACGGCGATCGGAACGGTTTCGCGAAACTTTGAACTTCTCGAGCAGAAATTTTCAATCCTTCGATTTTAAAGAGCAAACGAGCTTACTTTAGAAAAAGAATATTAAAGTATTTTCAGTTTCTTTGTATCGAGTATACTCGTCACCCTTTTTGTTTGATTTTTAGATTTATCCCCGTAGTAAAAACAATTTGCATTTGTTATTAAAGCAAAATTTAGGTGAAACGAAAAATATATTCGTAATTTTAGGATATTTTAGGACGAAAACAAGGGAGAAAAAAAAAAAGATCGATTCTAATTATACATAATTTTTCTTATGAACGAATTTGTAATAAAATATGATTTTTGAAGAACAACTTTTTATTATAATTTGTTTCGAGTTTACTTTACACTGCTTTCGTCGAGTACGTTTTAT